GGTGAGTGGAGCCCCAGCCCTCCTGTCACCTCGAGCTGTGGGTGGCGCTCCGGCTCAGTCTGTGGACTTCAGTCTGTTCCGTTCAGGGTGACAAAAGGCGCACCGGGACCCCCGGAATCTCGGCTGAACTAAGACAGAACAGGACGAGACCGCGGCATGGTGCTGTGAGGACCGTGTTCCGACCCACGCTCGGGACCCGCTGCCTTAAAACCGCAGCTTTTTTATTTTTTTTAAATTTCCGCATCCGAGCGTCTTTTTTTTTTTTAACCACATCATGGAGCGTGAAGGAAGCTGGCTGCTCCTGGCCTCACTCATCATTTTAATCAGTCCTCAAGGTAAGGCCTCATGGTTCTGCCTTTGTTTTTGGGCTCTCTTTGCGCAGATCTGAAAGTGTGCAGATGTGTTTGTTTGTTTTTAAAGTTGCTGCGCCAACCAGGAGGTGCCGCAGCAGGTAAAGGTGCGCTGCTCCGCCTCAGAATAAACCTCACATCCCGTTTGGCTTTCACACTGACTTTCTGTCTAGGTTTGTCAAATGTTTTGAAAACATCAAAATTATTGTTATTCTTTTTAGAAACCCGACCCCCGTTTAGAGCAGGGGTCTGTAACCTACGGCTCTGGGGCGACCCTTCAGACTCTCTGGAGCTTTAACTGAAAGTATGGAAATAAAAACAATTTCATTTAGCCACTAGGAAGAAGTACAGGAAGAGGCAGCATGGTGACCCGAGAATAGAGATAATGTCAGGAATTGTATCCAGCAAACTAAAATAAAACAACACAGAGTTCATTAAATTCCCATAAATCTACAGATGCACAGAAATCTGTTTATTTATTAAAGAAAGAAAAACCCACTGACAAAAGTGAGAAAAATGACAAAAAAAATCAACTATTGAACACGAGTTATTGCTTTAGAATTTAACTTCAACTTAATTATATATTAAAAGAAATGAAACTGGCCTCAACAAAAAGGATACTGTTAATATTTTATTGATTTTATTTTTGAAGCAGTAGAGCGATTTTTGTAACTGATACCCTTAACGTCACATCCTCAAAGCTCAGACCTCCTCAAAGACCGAGAAGTGAAAAGCGTCTTTCAGGAACTTCTTGGCCACAGACAAGTCATCCTCCCAGCCCCCTTTGGAGTGAGATGAGCATCCTCCAGACACTCAGGGACACACAATACAGATATGTCCTTTTGGATCCTCTTGAAGACAGGAAACAGAGGGAGTGTCCTCCTAGACCCTCTTCAATCCACACAGGCTGTGTCTCAATTCAGGGGCACCTTCTCCTGCAGCCAATGAATGCAGCCCACAAAATACCAAAAATTAGGGCAAAAGATATCCCAGGATTCATTGTGTTGGCAGCAAGCTAAACAGGAAAACAAAGACAAACAAGTTTTTTTTTCTTTAACTAAGTCAGCATAGTTTAAAAATTCATCAAGGACTGAAAATTTTGTTTTTAAATGCAAGTTTCACAAAATGTATGCTACAATGAGGTGTTAAATATAATGCAACATTTAGTACTGATACTGAAGCTAAACCCAAATTATTAATGTTTTTTCATTTATGTGTAACTTCTTAACTGTGCAGTTGATCCTCCAGAGAAAAGACATATGAATACATGCCCCAATGCATTTTAAGTCTGAAGGTACAAGATACAACATAACACCATGGTAACTAAGTAGCACGTGGTCACGCAAAAATGTGTCAGTCGAAGGTTAGACGTCTCATTTCACAAGTTTCATGCAGCCTACCTGGACTACATAGGCTGTGGCCAACATGGGCCGAGGTGTGGGTGGTGTGCAGTCCTTCAATTGAGATTGATGTGGAGCTGAGACGAGGCGTTAACATGCTTGGAGGCTAAAAGCAGCAGTGAGGTATCAGTGCTGATATTGGCCAAAAAGTATCGTATTATATCGGCCTGCATCTAAAATCCCAGATATAAGCACTCTGATACAAGCAGTCCATTCCAGAGGTCTGCTCAGGATTTCTTTCCAGCAGCACTTCAATCCAGCATAAATAATTTATGTGACCTTGAATTGTTATTTCATATTTAAACATATTATGATTTTGTAATTTATTGAAGAAATGTTTCAGGGTCCTCTAATTTATTAGATTTTTCTTGTATTTATTGTATTTATTTGTACAATATTCTTTTGTTTAGGTAAAAAAAAAATTGTACCCCATTGGTTAATAATGAATGGGACCTGTTATTCTCATACCTAAACTATGTTCGTGTGAAACTTAGAAATACAAGTTCAGACATCAGTCAGACAAGTCTAACTTTTAACCTGTTTAAACTTTAATGATTCTGTTTGAACTCTGGTGAACTGAATTTTCTCACTACTTTGGCCAAATTTTATTGTTTTCTCAAGTCTTTGCAACGTTTGTCTGCACTGTACAAGATACCAGCCAATCGAGTGCCAGGGTGGCCACCCCCAGATGACTGACGATTATGGGGATGGTATATAGCATTTCAAAGATGGACAGTAAGAGCAAAATAGGAATAAATATCTGTCAAGCAGCTGAATGGTACAGGGGGAACCTATCCATGTGTGAAGAAAAAAAAAACCAAGAACCACTAAATTAATATAAAATAACAATTGTTTGTAATAGATCTTGGTTTAAGGACCAGTTATTAAAAACTGGGTGACATCTAGAGGCCAATCAATAACATGGAGCAACCAGAAAATTTCCTTGAGAATCTTTGACAGGGACTGCCATGTTTAAATTTAAGATTTGACTGTGCTTTTGTTGGTCACAGCTCCCATTATACCAAATTTCAGCTCAGTACGTCTGAACATTGACGAGATACAGCCGTTCAAATTTAGCTTTGGTGGCCATCATGGATTCTGTATTTGCATTCAGAGTTTGTTAAAGGTTGTTCTCAAGTTCTACTACACAATTTTTTTTAGTTTTGTTTCTCTAAAAATGACTCAGTTATTGCTCTTTGCAAAATTAGCATTAGGGGTAAGCGTGATTAACATTCATTTTGGATCGTTCTTAGCTATGACCACACAAAATTTGAGCTTAATATTTCTTAAAACAGCTTAATTATAAACGTAAAACTAGCTGTGAAGATCATTTTGAAATTTTGAATCCAGATGAGTTTTTTTTTTCAAACTGTGTGCTCCTAGAATACACCTTGACCAACTCCATGGCATTCCTTGCAAAACAGTCTAGCTCTGCCCCTGTGCAGAGCTAGACCAAATGCTGCAGCACAGAGGGATTGTTGGTGGCCAGCTGCGGTGGAATCAGAATTAATAACAATAAAGATGTTAATTTTGTTGTGTGTTAGACACCACCTGTGTATTTTGACCTTAACAATAACAACAGTAATGATAATCATTGACATCCTTAAATAAAATAAATAGTGTTGTTCCAGTTATTAACCTGGACTGTTATTTTTCTATGTGAATTTAAAAAAAATGTATACTTAACATTCTACATTGTTGAATTGAAACTTATTCTATTTTGCTTTCATTTTATTGGCAACAGTTGAAGTAAAGTGCTTACAAAAATAAAGCTTTGAGGTTAACCACACAGTCCTGAGCTAAACAGTGCATTCCTCACATTAAAAATATTAACCCATACAATATTTGTATTTGTGAGCTTTTGCTACATTTAGTATGAAAACTGTCATTCCTGAACTATGAACAGCAGTGTTCACTGTCTTTTAGACATTTAGACCCTTTCATGTCATCTCTGCCTTTGACTTCGTTTTATTGTTCCTCCTCTTTTCAGGGCTGCTTATAAAAAAGAAGCATGAGGAAAGAGTCTTGGTATGGTGGTTAAATATTACTGTACATTCTAAAAACTTGTTGAAAATATTTATGGTTTTCACCAAATATTTAAACACAATACCACATGTGTGTGTGTGTTATTGCTGATTTCTGTTCATCTGTTGTTTGGTTAGTTGTCCAGGTTTGATGGTTCAAACTACAGAAATGTGACAAACTACGTCTGATTTCTCTCAACAGCTCAGATGAGTCAGGCGTTTCTGGAACTTTTTTTTATCTATAAATGTCTAAATGTTTTTTCTTTAAGGTCCTGTCGTACTATAATATTTTAGACAATGTATGCCATGTATGCAATGTTTGTCCAACACTAAAGATGTCTAAGTCGAAGTAAAATAGTCATAATAAACTTTTTATTAGTCAGCTTAAGTTGTCCAAAATGTTATAGTGTGACAGAGCCTTTAGAATTTCCAAAAGTCTTTAAAGTTAATTTTTATTTCTTATTTCAGGAATTTGGCAGTCTTTTTACATTTAGTTTGTTTCTCGAACCGTACCATTTTTAGAGGATTGTTGTTTTGCTTGTTTATTGCTGTGGTGTTCGTTGACCACCACAATGTCTGGTTGGTTCGCCATTACCATCTTGTTTGTCTGGATCTGGAAATCCCACAGTATCTTAGCCCTGCTGATCTCCACCACCCTTGGTGAGGTCTCCGACTTTGACTCTAATACCTCCAGTCCATACTCCGCACAGCCGTTCCTGTATATTGTTTCAGACACTTGGTTATGGCGCTCCATGTATGCTTTGCCTGCCTAGATCTTACACCCTGCTGTTATGTGTTGGACTGTCTTAGGGGCATCTTTGCACAGCCTGTGTCTTGGTTCCTGCCAGGTACAGTAGACCCCGGCCTCTATCATTCTTGTACTGCCATGATTACTGTCTCTGTGCTGTCCTTTGGTCCAGCCCTCTCTAGCCACTGGTAGGATTTGTTGATATCAGCCACTACCTTAATCTGTCTGTGGCACATGCAGTGCAGAGGCTTATCTTCCCTGCTAATTTCCAGCTAACATTCAGGAGAACCTGATGATAAATGGGCTACTGGAACAACACATTCATTAATGAAAACAGAAAACTTAAAACTATTGGAATGTTACTATACTATGTGTACAACACTTTGGCACTGTGAGAGCTTTTTAAATAAATCTGGGATGGGATGGGTATGTACGGTACAGTATGGTGGTATGGTATGGTATGGTATGGTATGGTATGGTATGGTATGGTATGGTATGGTATGGTATGGTATGGTATGGTATGGTATGGTATGGTAATAAAATGGTACAGTAAGCCTAATGAAAGGTGCTATATGAAAAGGATTTGGGAACTGAAACTAAGCCTCTTGTTACTGTGTTGCACCAGCTACTGGTCAACAAAATATCAGCTAGCTTGATCCTGTCAGACCAGGAACAGAAACCTGTGCACCACCTGGAATAACCAGAAGAAAGCCCATAATTCAATTTAATTAAATTAAGTTTTAGTGCCAGTTTGAAGTGAGTTGTTGATGGCAGTTGACACTGAAAACTACACTGCTCTGGTTTATTGAACTT